CCCAAGTTGTTAGCAAAATGATTACATAAACCACATGTTAGTTCCATTGCAAACATGAACTAGTTCGCAGATTGTGGGGAATGTTGGAGAGCTCACAGACATGTGTGCTCTTCTTTTCAAAGTACATTCACGTAAGTGACTTTTGAAATGCTTTATGATGGCATAGTAAGTATGAAAACAAAAACAGACAATAAAATAAAATTATCCATTACTACTAATAATTAAACACAGAATTACCATATGATTCAAAGCTTCTGCTTCTGGGTATGTACTCCAAAAAATTAAACACAGGGACTCAGATACTTGTACACCCTGCTCATAGAGGCATTGATTTCATTAATCAAATGGTGGAAAAAAACGGAGTGTCAACAAAGAATGGATAAACAACATGTGTTAGATAATATTTTTCAGGCTTTAAAAGGAATGAAATATTGACACACACGAAAACAGGAATGAACCTTGAAGACATTATGCTAAGTGAAATCAGTGAAACACTGAAGACCACATGTTGGGTTACTCCATTTATATGAGTGACCTAGAATAATCATAGGGATAAGAAGTGGGATGGAAGATGCTGGGGGCTGGGGAAGAGGGACAAATTATTGTTTAATGGGTGTGGAGTTTCACTGTGGAAGAAAGAAGACATAGAACCAGATGGTAGTGATGGGTGCTGTATCAATGCACAAAATGATATTGAACTATACACCTAAAACGATGAATTTTATGCTATGTGTGTTTTACTACAAATTTAAAAATCCATTAACAAAAGAAGTATGAAGCTTGTGACTCAAAAGCTATAAAATATTGTTAAAAAAGAAATTACAGAATATTTAAATAAATCAAAATTCCCCCATGTTTATGGGTTGGAAGATTTGATGCTATTATGATGGAAATACTTCCAAAATGGAACTACAGATTCAGTGTGATCCCTGTCAAAATACCACCTGCATTCACCACAGTTATTAACTAGCTGACTCCAAATTAATACAGAAATTCAGGGGACTCAAAATAGCCAGTACTTCTTTAAGAAGGACAAATTTGAGGGCTTATACATTTCCAGTTTCAAAACCAAATGTCTATTAGCTGATGAATGAACAAATAAAATGGATATTGTATACACTAGGTAATATTCATTCATAAAAAATTTCTCATTGGATTTCTTTGGTATTCATTTCACATACAGCTCCTGAGTGTGGGCAGGATGCTTTTGCTGAAGGATGCAGGAGGGAGGTGTCCAGTGCTGGGGTCCTGATGGAGTTAGGGGGTCCTTGTAGGCTTGAGGCTCTGCTAGCAGAGGTTGAACTAGGTTCCCTTGAGGCACACACACTGCTCCTTCTTCCAAACCACCATGATCTGTGGTCTCTGTCCTCCCCTCCCTCTCCCAGTTCCCAAATGGCCTCAGAGACGTGGGTGGTGGAGTTGGGTAGGGTGCCACCTTTAGTCCACTGTGTCCCTGTTAAGAGCACTCACAGTCTCTAGTTGCAAGGCTAAGTCACTTAAGCCTTGTGGCAGACACTGTTATACTCTGTGTTTTTCACAGATAAGTCAGTCTTGGGAGCTTTGCATACTCTCTCTGGCCTGACCTTCACAGGTGACACCTGGATGTAGGGATAATAAGAGCCTAGAGAGAAGGATCATCCAACTCTGGAAAATGGACAGACTCTCTGCTTTAAGACAGGAGGACATGGAATCCTGCCCTGTGCAGACTCCACCTGTGATTGCTGTGGGCAGAGAAAGGGTCATCATTGACTAGGTCCTTGCAGATGGCGCCTTGCCTTGGGCTGCTTGTTTCTACCCTGATGACTCCTCCTCCTCCTGCTGCCTATGATCTTAGAAGTTATGCCAGGCCTCTTGCACCTCTTAGCAGACCAAAGACAAATGTTTCTGTAGTGGTTACTTTGTCTATGTGACATGATCTCTTTGAGCCCAGAAAAATATCACCATTGCTCCTGGCTGCATCTGAGGTGGAGTTTCCAGAAGACATTAGCATATGGGGAAGTGGGCTGTGTTAGTGACTGTCTCCTTGCTGAGACACAATACCCAACACCCACAAGTTAAAGGGGAAGAGGTTTATTGTGCCTCAAAGCTTATGGAGGTCTCAGTCCATAGTCCATTGGCTCCCAGGCAGGATGAACTGGCAGAAAGCATGGTGCAGAAAACAGAGAGGGAGTAGATGGAAGAGTGGGGATAAGAGACCACTCCAGCACATTCTACACCTCCTCTGCCCATGCTCCACCTCCCAACATCACATTTAACTATAAACCCATTGCCGAATGAATCCTCTGGACTGATCCAACCATGAGCATCATGCTCCCATAATTCAGTCATCTCCTCAAAACCCCACTATAAGCACATGAGGCTTTATGGACATCTTGATAGAAACCATAAAAGGGGCTGAGTGGGTGGACTCAAATGGTAGCCAAATGGGGGCTTCACCCAAGCTGAGGAGGATGGGGTGAGTTTGCCTTGTTTCTGACCCTTGGGCTGGAGCAACAGCTATACTGGGTCTGTAGCTTGCACACAGCTGATTGTGGAATTTATCAACCTCCATAGTATGTGTTATGACTTGGGTCTAGATATGCCCCCAAAACCTCATGCGGTCACAGGTGGGGTTTTTTAGAGGTGGCTGGATTTGGGGTGTGTGATACTAGGATTAAGGCTGCCCTCCTGCGTGTGAGTACTACCTGCCCTAAGTGGGGACAGCCTGAATAGAATAAAGGGGGCAGGACGAGGGCTGCTGCTGCTGCTTGTCCCTTGCTGCTTGCTGCTTTTGCTGCCTCTACCTTCCACTTCCACACACCATGCGCTGTGTTTCCTCTGTGATGCCCTCTGCCATGACCGTTTGCCTCAGAGTCAGCTAACTATGGATTGAAACCTCCACAAACTGTGAGCTGAATGAAGCTTTCCTCTTTTAACTTTAGGTGTTGTGCATTTTGTCTCAGCAATAAGAAAAATAAGTAAGACAGTGCATAAACCAATGGCTTGCAGTAAATGAAGATGTTGCATGTTCACATACATGGGAGATACATTTCTTGATGGCTGTGCCTCTCAAAGACTCTACAGCCTCTGACTTCCCATTCTTTGGCACAAATGCTGAGCTATATCCATGTCCACACTGGGCATTCATTGCTCCAGATCTCACCTACCAATCAATGCTCTGTCACCAAGAGGGTAGACATGTGTGTAGTCTCCTGTTAATAGCCTCAGAGAGATAGCCTTGCTCCTGGTTGCCCCTTACCTTTTGCCCTGGGAGCAGAGTGGGTGGAGAAGGGCTCATTCTGCAACAGGAAGTTAACCCAGGAGTGAGACAACCACGTGACCACAAAGTGTGGTCTTCAGGCCAGCAGCATTCGCTTCACTTGCAGATGTGCTAGCAGGGCACACGCTCAGGCCCTACCTGGGACCTGCTGAATCAGAAACAGTGTGGGCAGGGCAGGGCGGGGCTGCAGCCTGTGTTGGAGCAAGCCCTCCAAGTGGCCTCAACATACATCTAAGTCTGAGAACCATTTGTAATCAACCAAGAAAGTTAAAAAAAGTAATAATGCCATTCCAGGAGAGAGCTGGAGCTAGCTTGATCTGCTGATTTTTTTAATTTCAGAAATTTTGTGAATTGGCATTTAATACAGTCACTGTATAAAATTATATCACATATAAACATAATCAAATAAATTATATTAAAAATAAAAGTAGGATCACGCACAATGATGTATACATACCTGCAATTCTGGCCCCTCAGGAGGCTGAAGCAGAAGGATCACAAGTTCAAGGTCAGCTGGGGAAACTTAGAAAGATTTTGTATAAAAATAAAAAGTAATGGGGCTGGGGGTTTAGCTCAGCGGCATAAGCACCTGCCTTGCAAGCAGGCGGTCGTGAGTTCGATCCCCGGTACCGATAAAAATGAAAAAGACAAAAAAATAAATAAATAAATAAATAAATAAAAATAAAAAGTAATGATTGTAAGGACTAAAGTTGTAGCTTGGTGGTAGAGCCCTTCCCTACTGTGTGCAAAGACTGTGTTCAACCCCAGTACCAGTGAAAGAAAAGCAAACAAAGTAGTAAATATCCCAAATCCACCATCTCCAAACTATCTCACTACTTTCTACTATTATTGTGTTCTTGACATTACATCTACTTTCTCTGCATAGTGGAAACACTTATTACACATTCACCAAGAGCATCTTTCCCAGCTGTGTCCAGGGTAAGCACATGGGTACCGTATTTCCCTGAAAACAAGACTAACTGGAGAATAAGCCCTAACGTGACTTTTGAGGATGCTCGTAATCTAAACCTAACCCCCAAATAAGCCCCAGGTAAGACCATCAGCCAGACAGGTGCATTTGGCACGTCTGTTGCAGCACACCATAGACGTACTGGAGTGTTAAAACATTAATATATAATTAAATATAAATAGTATTATGGACAATACTTGAAATAAATGCTAAAGTAAGTGGTAATGATATATTTGTAAATACAAATATGAGAACAGATGAACCTGAGACTTTTCCAAATGGAAAAATGGTAATTGGAGTATATACACCAGGTGTGAGACACGTGTGCCCCTGATAATGAACGGATGTGGCTGTGCCTAAGATGAATCGCCACAACTCTGTATGCTGTGCCTTGTAACCGGCTTAATGCAACTTGATTCAATAATAGATTTAAAGAGAGTAAACGTAGATTGCTAAATGTAAAAAAATATATATCTTCTGAAAATAAGGCTTATTGTATCTTTTAGAGCAAAAATTAATATAGGCTTGGTCTTATTGTGGGGGAAATACGGTAGCTTGAAATCCACCCTGTCTGGAGCTGTACTCTGTAGCACTTAGTGAGGTCCAGCAGGGCAGGGCTGTGTGGAGGTATCACAGTTGTCCTATTAGAGGCAGCCAGTAGCTGATGGAAATTCCGTCTAGCGGGAGAGAAGCCCATCCAGGACACAGGAAAGTATGGCTACATCAGGAGAAGTGAGAGCACTTTTTTTTTTATTAACACATATTAATCATACAGAATAATGGCTCACAATGAAAATCACTCGTAGTAGCTCTGTGGCCACACCTTGTGGGAAGTGTGGATCCTGCAGGGTCACCAGATTCTTCCTCAGAGTCCAGGTGATAAGTTCAGGCTCTGGGCCCAGGGGAAGCAAGAAGGTAACATTTTCAGATTTTCTCTCATATGACAGACTTCTCTGGATAGAAGAAAAGAAGTGGTCAGAGGAAAAAGAGAATAATACATATGAATTACCCATCTGGATGGCCCATTACTCCAGAACTTTCTATAAGCTGACATTAAAGCTTGAACACTAATGTGGACAACTGTGGCTGTCTATGCTGTCACAGCTGATCTCCTGGGCCACAGCAACCTGTCTCACCAACTCTGGTCTTCAGTGTTCAGTGAGAGTTCTCAGACCCTGCATAGTTAGGTATCATCAAGTCTAACTGCTACCTGGTGATAGCCACAGAGAACCTTCCGGTAGTGCTGGCAGAAATAGGAAAAGGACCTTCGCCTTTGGAAGACAGTGTGACAGCTCCTCAAACAGTTGGACAGTCTTGCCACTGGCCCAGCAATCCCACTCTGCATTTCCTTTTGGAGGGACCTAGAAACAGGCCGAGGACAGGATGACCAGGAGGAGCCAGGAGTAGAGACTTCCGTGGCCAGGAAGGAAACTGGCCTCCCAACACAGAGAGAGGCACTGGCTCATTCTCTTCCCCACTCATCCACACATGTGCCCCTCGGGTTATCCACTTAGGCAGTGGATAGTGATAGTGGATAGTGGATAGTGGATAGTGGATAGTGGATAGTGGATAGTGGATAGTCTCCTCCCCTCTCACACCCTCCTGATCTGAGGACCTGAGGATCCTCCTGAGTTTCTAGAATCCCCAGTGATCCCTTTCCCTGTGTAGAGATTGGAGCTGCTCTGAAAGAGGGCAGAGGTCCAAGCTTATGACCAGCGCCTCCTGGAGGCTGGCGTTGGAAATCCTCCATCTCTCTGTGATTGAGGTGGGAGAGAGACTGAGTTCACACTCTTTCTTATTCCAAAGGCAGAAGGACACTGTTCCTTGAGGGTTTGCACAGGCACTGAGTCCTGAAAGGGCTTTGTCATGCACAGAGAATATTTGTGATGCTGTATGACATCATAGTATTCTCACCACCTCTTCCCTGCCAACCCAGAGCATTTCAAGTCCACATAGCCACTTCTGGCAGAGGCATTGGAGAAAAGTCGAGGGGTGGCAAGGGCTGGGTCCGCGGGCCACAAGGACTCTGTGAGTGCAGGGAGGAGGGGAAGAGCTGGCATCTTGGAGGAGCAGGCCTCCTCCTGCAGGAGGGCTGCCTGAAGCGTGGCTTCAAGAAAGAAAGGGGAAGCTGTCCTGGTGGGGCAGGTACAGGTGGAGAGGCTGTCTAGACGGGAGAAAGCAGCAGAGAGACATAGGACCTAAAGTGCAGGTGAGCCATAAAAGAGAGGGCTTGGGGTCAGCCTGTGCCCGAGGCCTGCAGCCTGCAGGGAGAGGGGAGACCACATCCCTGAGTAACTTCCCTTCTGGAATGGAGACAGCCCTAGAGCAGCACAGGTTGGGTTGTGGGGCTTCAGGGAAGGCAGCTAAAGCTCAGAGAAAGGATAGGAGAAGGTAAGTGAGCTCTGGCACCAGCGGGGCAGGTGGAATTGGGACAGTTGGCTGGTCCTGGTGGCCACCATACAGTGTCTCCCATTTGGGAATGACGGATGGACAGCACGCTTCTGCCACTTTTGGCTGAACGGTGGCATATGTGGCAGACACAACAGGGTGGAGGCAGGGAGGGGACATATTTATGTGTAGCTTGATATTCTGGTGGGAGGAAATGAATAAGTTATGATGTGAGAACTCTGGGGGTGTAGGGATAGGTTCATGGTGTTCTCCAGATGTGGCAGGAGAATATTTCAGGTCCTGGTCGGTAGATGGCCTTTTGCCATCTGGAGTTACAACTAACATGATGGAGTATTCTTCTAAAGCCAGGAGCCAATAGGCTGCCAGAGCTCAGGCATGCATGGCCAGCTGGGAAGGAAGACTGATTTAGTGACCATGAAGGGCATGGTACAGGAAAGAGCATATGGGCATCAGTAACAACCCATCCTGGAGAGGGAAGATACGGGCAGTTGTCAGCAGAGACAGGACGGATGGAGGGTCCCAAGAATCCCATCCTTTGGGTGCTGCTAGCAAGGCCGTGACTCTACTGATGACAGCTCCTGTCAGCTGGCTTTTTGCAGGTTTTCTAGGACAGGGCCTTGAAAGGCCAAGGGAAGTGGCCATCTGTTGGGAGCCGCGGCCGAGCCCGGTCGCCTTACTTGGCGGACGTGAGGCCTGTAGGAAAGAGCAAAGCCTGAGCTAGATTACCCCTCCCATCGAGTGTGCTAAGATGGCGCTTATCTCCTGCTTGGTAAACAACCCGCCCTGTAAGATCTCCTGCTTCCTGCTTGGTAAACAACCCGCCCTGTAAGATCTCCTGCTTCACAACCCGCCCTGTAAGATAGTCTGCCTAGCAACAACTGAACCCTATAAAAGTGAGTGCCTCTCCCGCCAAGAAAGGAAAAAGAAGCAGAAGAAGCAGAAGAAGCACGCAAGGAGCCGCGGAGAGCGGACCGGTAGAGGCTTCGGGACAGACTGTAGGGAGAAGCACGCAAGGAGCCGCGGGGAGCGGACCAACAGAGGCTTCGGCCGGGAGGATTCCCGGGGCAGGCTGTACGGAGAAGGAAAATAAAAGAAAAGGTTGTCCACTGCCAGACTTTGTTGTGTGTCCTTCCTGCCGGCCGGGAGTGACACCGACAGCCATCCAGCCAGTTCTGGGCTCAGCTGTGGTGGTGGCTGCAGCTGTCTGCCACCTCTGCAGTCCCAAGCTAGCTTCTCTGGGGAAGGCCAGGCCTGAGGGCGAGTGCAGTGGCATCGTAGGAGGTCTCTATGCCACCCCAAATGCCTGCACTGAGTTTTGAAGGAAGCCCAGGCCACCTCAACACCAATGTCACTGTTAGAAGTGCAGCATGCCCAGAGGGCCAGCTCTTCCACCATTTCCCTGAATACAGGGACAAGGGACTCCAAGAAACTCTTCCGAGAACAACTGCAAACTGCTGAAAAAGAACAAACATACCAAAGCCATAATAACAAAACTCCATTAATACAAGAATGTACACAAATGTCCAGCTTCACCAATGATTTTAAAAGGAAGAAAGAAGTAAGAATCAATGCTGAAATGCCATTTACTACTTCTGTTGACAAAGGCAAATGAGAATAATAAACAGTAAGTCTCAGGAAACTATTGATGGATACCAAACGGACATGTGGAGAGTGTTAACAGAGTGTTATTTTCAATGATTTAAAAGTTAAAGTAAGCTATATGTCAAACAATACGGATACTAAACAAATTACTCTAAATCCACATTATGAAACACTGTTAAGTATCATTCTGAAAATAAATACCTACTATCATATAAACTATCTGTGGAATAGGGTTACTTAATAAGGTAAAAATGGAGGGGCTGAGGAATTAGCTCTGTGGCATAAGCGCCTGTCTGGCAAGCACAAGGTCATGAATTTGATCCTTGGTACAAAAAACCCCAGTAAAAATGGAAATTTAAAAATAGATGATATATGTATTAATATGATACCATCGATATCAAAAATTTGTGGATGACATAAACATAGAGTGTGGCTGCCGAGTGGGATCCAGGGGAGAGGGAGAGGCAGGGAACTTCAATATGAGAGGTGGTTTGTGGAACCTTAGTGGCAGAGTATGACATGCTTCAACTCGGGGCAGTCAGATGTGAGCTCCCATGGAGAGAAGGTATGTTTTAAGGTGTGCTATAAATCATGGATCATGGACAATGCATTAGTATGAAATTTTGTCAGTTTCATTGGAGTTTCAGGGTCCTGCTGCTTTAGACTCAACGTTTTAAGAAATATTTTCATGGGAGGTGAAACTTGGGTCTGTGGTTACTTGACCCTGAGACCAAGACTCAGAGTTCTCAATGAAAATCACCCAGTTCTTCTCATGCTAAAAAATGTATCAATCAAGATCCAACATCAAAGTCATATTGACTGTAATTTTACCTTGATTGAATTATACAAACTGAGTTTGTTACCAGGAATACCATGGTGAACTCTATTGTAAGGACTTACTGGAATGTTTAAGAAGTGATGTGTGTAGAACATAGCTGGAGAAATGGGCAAATGGTTCATCCTGCATCTTGACACCACAGAAGTGCTGGCTCAATAACCTCTGTCAAATAAAAACATTACAGTGTGTCCTTACTCCCCTTATTCACTAGATCTTGCATCATGCAACTTCTGGATTTTCCTCAAAATCAAATGACCAATCAAGGCCAATATTTCAAGTCAATTCAGGATATGGAGTCAGCCATGAAAGTGCAACTGAAGACACTCATGAGAACTTCCAGAATTGCTTCAGAAAGTTGCAAGAATGATTTTTTAAAAGAATTGATGGCAATGTGTCTTTACAAAAAGTTTAAAAATACAACCTACTATTTGATCACCTCACAATGTGCATGTATGTATTATATATGCATGTGCACACACACACATACACACACAAAATGTGATATTTTAAGAGAGAAGATTTTAAATGTCATGAATTCAGCCCATATTGCAAAGCAATTAAATCCTAGTAATGTGTCAGGTAGGACCTGGTTGGCAATCTGTAAATTGTCCCCAGGAGGTCACAATGCATAGCCAGGACTGGAAATCCCTGCTGTAACTGTAAACTGTAAACCCTGGTCTGAATTTTCCAACTTCACCTCCAAAATTAAAATACTATACTATGTGTGTTTCCCAATTGGTTTCTTTTTTTAGCTTGTGACACTCAAGGAGTGGCAAAGCTGATTTGCTGTGGAGAAGCCAGCCCATCTTCTGGGTAGGGGTCTGCAAGGTTTTAGAAGCCTGCCTGACTCTGCCTTGGAAGGTATATATATAGGTATCAGTCAGAGGCTTCTGAAAGTGAGGACGGACCTCACTTATGGCATCATGTTTTATAATAAGGAGTAAGAAGTGGGACATTGTGTTAATCAAGGCTCTCCAGGGAATCAGAACCAAGAGGCTATGCAGAGATGTGCTGGAAGATCTGTTTTCAAGAACTGGCTTACACAGAGGGTGGGACATCTTCTACAGAGCCCGTTCCACCCACCCAGCCACAGTCCACCCAGAA